GCCGCAGGGGTATCAGATGTGTGTGGCTTCTGCTTCAAAAGGAAGTTATTTAGCTACACACAGCACACATGTCTTCGATTTCTGTAGAGGGAGCTTCTCGTGGAGGTGGAGAAAAGATTCAGATTCCACCATCCGGAGGTACTATCACCCCCGTTCACGTCTGATCCACCTTCAAAGAAGGACCCAGTCTTTCACAAAGCAAGAGCAAGCAGAGGTAGTGAAGGAGCCAGTCTTTCACAAAGCAAGAGCAAGCAGAGACCATAGTTCAGCTTGCATTGCATGCACGCACGTTACATTATTTATTTAACGCTCGACACTTCCAAGTGGCTATAGCGCCAAAAGCCCCTACCGAACTACTACCAGCTGACACTCGAGACTCGACGCGCCACACTTGCTCGTACAGACCACACACCACGGGCACACTTCACTCTCTTCTTCGCGAGCTTGTCCATCCTCGATCTAGCTATTGACGATGGTACCACCTGCAACCCAGCAACACACAAAAACGCAATGAATTTCATGGTCAAAGATGGGAAGAATCAACAACGTGGTGGTGAAGGGGTTACCATTGGGGTGGAGGATCTGGCCGGAGATGTAGGAGGAGTCCTGCTCGCTGGCCAGGAAGACGAAGCTGGGCGCGACCTCGCTGGGCTGCCCCGCGCGCTTCATGGGCACCTCGGATCCAAACTGCTTCACCTTCTCCTCCGGGAAGGAGGCCGGGATGAGCGGCGTCCAGATGGGCCCCGGCGCCACGCCGTTGACGCGGATCTCCTTCTCCGCCAGCTGCATCGACAGCGCGCGGGTGAAGGCCACGATGGCGCCCTTGGTGGCCGTGTAGTCCAGCAGCGTCGCGTTGCCCTTGTACGCGTTCACGGAGGTGGTGTTGATGATGCTGGACCCGGGCCCCATGTGCTTCACCGCGAACTTGGCCATGAGGAAGTAGGAGAAGATGTTGGTGCGGAACACGCGCTCCAGGTCCTGCTCGCTGATCTCGGTGATGCAGGGGCGGACGTACTGCTCCGCCGCGTTGTTCACGAGGATGTCCACGCGCCCGCCGTGCGCGTTGGCCACCTCCTCCACCACCCTGCGGCAGTTCTCCTCGTACCCGAGGTCGCCCGCCAGCGCCTTGGGCTCGCCGGCGCCCGTGCGGGACTTGATGTCGCGGAGCGCCTGCAGGGTCTCCTCCGCGTCCTTGTCCTCGTGCCCCTTCACGTACGTGAAGTTCACCGTCGCGCCCTCCAGCGCGAAGCACAGGCACACCGCGCGCCCGATGCCCGAGTCGCCGCCGGTCACCAGCGCCACCTTGCCCTGCACGCGCACACAATCATATATACATGTATTAAACGGCAGCCTACTGGAAGCTGGCATCGACAAGCAGTGCTAGAACTGTTAAAACCGCTTTACCTGGAGCTTGTTGGCCGACTTGTAGTTCTTGATGAGGGTCTCGGGGCGGGGGTCCATGGCGTGCTCCTTGCCGGGCTGGCAGTCCTGCTGCTGCGGCGGGAACTTCTGCTGCGACGCCATCGCTCTGGTCCCTCGGCGAGTAGGCGGTGCTCTTGGCGACGACGCGGCGAACGAAGCTAGCCCTCTGGCGGTGCGGAGTGGATGCAGCTGGTTCGGTCGGAGGCGGTGAAGAAGGAGGAGAAACGGCTGGGCTCTGGTGGGTGTTGCGAGGAGTGCGCTCATGGCACGGTGGAAGGCACGAGGTGGCGAGAGGCCGATATAAAGGTGGAGCGAAGCCGCGGGGGCATGGCGCGTGGCGGCGGACGTGGCAAGAGTCTCGCAGCTGTCTCATCCACGTGGTGACACCGGCCGTGCTCGAGTGACCTAGTGTAGTCCGAGCTGCACCGCACGCCGCTTAGGCGAAGCTGCTACATGTTTCTGGGCGATGAAACAGTCGATCGCCATTGTTGAGCCTTCTGGTCCAGCCGACCTGATGGTAAACGGGCTGACAAGCCGTATTCTAGAGCCCATAATCACAACGCTTGTGGCCGTCCATTTCTCTTACCTAGCGCGCAATCACAATGCCACCAGCCCAGCACTTCCTTTCTCTCGCCAAAAGGAAACGGCGGCGACTCCTCACTCCTCAGAATCAGGTTTCCCACTCCCACTCCCCATCGGCCGCAATGGCGACGGCGTCGGCAACACCGCCCCCCTTCCAGATCCCTAACTAGCGAGTGCGACGCGCCAGATCGCTTCGCCATGGAGCACCGCGACGGGGAGATCCCCGCCAAGGGACCACCCAAGCCTTCCGATGTCGCCGCAGCGAGGACTGCCTCAGCGCGGTCCCCGACGACCTCCTTATCAACACTAGAAGAACGCCCGTGCGTTGCAACGGGGCCACATTAACTTTAAGAGTTCAATATTAATCATGTTAATAATACATTTAATATTCTCATACATATCAAGTGACATATGAAAATATGGTAAGAGTTCAATATTAATCATGTTAACTTTAAGAGTTCAATATTAATCATGTTAATATTCTCATACATTTAATAATCATGTTAATAATACATTTAATATTCTCATACAACTACAAACATGAAAAATGATAGCACCCTATGAAATATGGTAAGATTATGTGTTTTTGCACGCAATTGTTGTGATTTATGTGTGATTTTTTTAATGTGATTTCGTACAAACAATTATAGTGAATATATACTACTACCGCTACCAACTACAACTTGTAACCAATCACATAAAGATATATATTTAGAAAGATGTGCATTGCTACGACTTCTAAATTGATATATCATACTGTATTTTGTCTCTTTTCACTTCTTTCCTCTCCTTATCTCGTTGGCTAGTCTTCTCTGATTATTTGTTGTCAATCCTTTTATCAAGGTTATGCAAAAAGAAAGTTCAAAATGTTCAGATCAAAGATAAATCTCTATGAAAACTAATTATTCAAGAGCGACGATGCAAATTAAAAGATGAGACAACACCTTGATGAAAAAATGCAGATCCACTTGTATGGCGTCCAAATATGTTACCCAGTGGGTTTCCTGTTCACTGAGCAAATTTCAGCACTTTCATGGAATTAATTAGTAGAATTATTGTAACACCAAGCATGTACAAGTATCCCAAGATGACCACGAGTGAAATTTCTACTGTAGTGCATACTAAACATACCTGACCTTTTTCTTCTTGAATCCATCAAATTTTCATTTCATTTAGAGCATCATGATGTCGTGAATACAACTTCAAAACTATTTAGAGCATCATGACCTCAACACTTCTAAGTCTGAAATCATCTCTATAAATGATCTGTGGAGCAATTCATAAACTGCAGTCAGTAGACAAATTAATTAGATTGTGCATGCATGAGACGATGGATTGTGTAGATGATCCCTAAGTTGTGGAACAGTACAACCAGAGAAAATAGCAGTCAAATGGAGGAATTAGCTAGTTAGATTGTAGATGCATGCATGAGTCAGCCGGTGCAAGGGAAGTCGCGCGGAGCGCCATGACGAACTCGGAGTCTGGGCCCGAGCCGTTACACCTCGGCGGCAGACAGCGGCCAGCACAGCCGCTGCCCGCTGGGTCGCTACTCGCTAGTGCCCGCCGCGCTGTTGAATCCACCGCTGATTGTAGCCACTGCATACAGTGTTCGCGCCGCCATGATGGTGCCCGACGAGGACGGCACAGGGCGGCGGAGTCGTGCATATCCAGCGGTGAGATCGAACAGCGAGGCGAGGTGACCGGCAGCGAACGGGCAGGACCTGCGGCGTCGGCTGCAGATCTCCTGGAACAGAGAAAAAGAGAGAGAGGTAGAGACTGAGGAAGGAGAGGTAGGGCACAGGAAGAGGAGAGGGATACTGGTGTCCATGGCGAGGCCTCCGTTGTCCACCGGCAAACCTCCATGGCTAAGGTAAGGTGCACCTACACCCGTAACACACCAGCATGACCTGAGTACCTGACGGTGAACGGGTTCACGTGACGAGCGCGGGGCTGGCAATCAACGTTTCCTGATCCTCCTCGCTGATGCATAACGGGCACGCATCGCTGCCTGGGTCGCTCACCATGAAGAAGAAGATAGGGTGGAGGAATTGAGCGAGGGAGGAGGAATCGAGCGGCTTGTACGGCAGGGGGCCAAACCATGATAAAAATCAGTACAACCGTGCGAGGTGGAGAATGAAATGACTTACCTATAGCTCATGATTCGATTGAGATGATAGGGAAGGAAGGAAAATTGTGATTTAGCCAGACAAAGTTTTGGAAAGTTCTGATTCAGCTGAAAAATAGATGGAAATAATGCCTCAGGATGAGGAGGTCACGATTAGGGTATGGCAAGAAGAATTTTTTTGGAAAGCTTTGATTCTGATGATAATTACCATATTCGAGATTTCCTTAGTTATAGTCTTACCATACATGGATTGATTACCATACGTGGATTAATTGTGATTGATTACCATAAATACGTTGGGTATTGTCGGCCGAACGAGAAAGAGAAAAACCGGTGGGAGGGGGGTGG